GTGTGACCCTCTGGTCCTGTGTTGTCTTTGATGGAAAAATCCGTCCATCTGAGGGCCTCACATCGTCACCATCCCCAGGTGTGCACGTCTGCAAATCTGGGCCCGGGACATGGCCTGTGGCTCTCTCCTCAGCACCCTCAGGACTGCTGGTGGTGTAAGGCCACCACCACCTTTGTAGACCCTGGCAGGAGCCTGCCCACTAAGCTTTCTGCCACCTGCCTGTCCCCCTCGGACCTTTCTGACACTGCCTTTCCAGTGCCTTCCTAGAGCCTGAGGCTTGACAGATTCTGAGCGATGTGACAGCAGTCTTTGCCCAGCCTCCCCTTTGCAGGAAGCAGGTGCACGGGTCTCCTCAGAACCTTTCTGGGTCCTGTGCCTGGGGCGTGCCCTATGCCCACAGTGCGTCCAGCCCTCTTCCTTATGCTGCCCCGAGCCCCACCCATGCTGCTCACTGGCCTGCAGCGCTGTCCCTGAAGGGTCCAGGTAACCTGCGGCAGCTGGCATGCTTGCCTGGGAGGTGTGGAGCTTGGCGTGTTGGCCCAGTATAGGGAGCCGAACTCCCCTTTTGGGCTTGGCATTTAGTGCCAAGGGCCTGGCACCTGAGACCAGGTAGTCACAGGCTGATGGCTCATCAGACTGCCATGCTGGGCACTTGGAGGTCTGACAGGAGATGACAGTGTGAGCACAAGCCCAGGCCCTTGGGCTGGCCATTGTTTGTGTGGCTGTCACGGGGGCTGCCTGCTCTGTTGCCTCCAGAAAACCTTGGCAGGGTTCTCTCTCCTTGGGGAAAAGCTTCTGGTGCGGTCTCCTGCAAAGCAGGTCTGGATTAGCGGCACTGTCCCCTGGCATGGCTCTCTGACCTGGACCCCAGCCTATGGCTATGGCTGCTACAGTGAACAGCACAGGTCTAGATCGTAATTCTCAAGTAGCCCCAAGGGACATTTGTCACCACTGAGAGGGCAGAGGCCGGGACCCGGTGTTGGCCATGTGACAGGGGGGAGCACTGACCCTGGCTGCTGCTGGCACCAGGCCTGGTCCCCAGCATGTGCCTCAGTTGGAGTCCGTGACTCACGTAAGTTGTCTGACCTCCCTTAGTTGCTCCCTGTCCCCCAAGTTACCCCCAAACTCTCAGCTGCTTTCAAGAAATACACCAGAGCCTCCAGGACGGCCATGTGTGTCTCATGTCCTCTCCCCGCCCCCAGAGGTTGAGCGGCTTCGGCTGCGGCTCCTGCTCCTGTGTACCTGAAGGTGGGAAGGAAAGGCCCTTCAGCTGTGCTGATAGGAGCTTGCTGCTTCCGGCTTTTATTCTGGACTTCTCGTCCCTGCAGGCCCTGGAGGCCGAGTGCTGGGCTGCAGAGGCCTCCCGTTACTACTCTGCTTCACCCCCAGCCTTTCCTGGGCAGCCCCTGGCCTGCTGCATGCAGAGTCTTCTGGGCTGTGGCAGGATGGAATCAGCAGGTGGCGCTGTGGCGCCAGCGTCAGCTCGCACACCACGGAGGCCAAGAGCCCCAGTCATCCCATGCCTGTAGGGATGTGAGCTTACCTTCGAGCCCACTGTGGCACACCCAAAGGCCAGCCACAGGAGATCTCGGGCACATCTTGCTCCTTCCCTGCTTCCAGTGAAGCCCGTCTCCCTCCTGTGCCTGCACAGAGAAGACAGAGTTGGTGAAGAGCCTGTGAGCTGCCTCTCCCACTTGCTATGCTTGACCCTGCTTCTCCAGAGCCCAAAAAGAGATTGTTTCTCCTGCCTTTTCTTGTTTACTCAACCTTTCATAAAAGCATGATAGCCCTGCTCAGCATCCAAGAACATTTTACCCAGAAAGCCAACTCGGGTTCAGGTATTAGGAGCTGATGTTTGTCTGCCAAGGACACATCTGGCTTCAATTATCTTCCTCCACTGGCCTTTCCCTGTGTCACTGGATGAAGTTAAGCAGGACCCCAGGCCATGCCATCAGTGACAGCGGTAGGAAATGGCATTGGCACTGAGTTTTCGCCTGTGCCCTTTAAATGAACACCTCAGGACAGTTGTGTGGGTAACAGCCCCCAAGAGGCTCAGCAAGGAGTGCTGGAAATCTGCACAGCCAGAGATGGGGCTGGCGCCAGTCGTTTCTGCAGCCCGGCCTGTGAAGCCTGCCCCTGTCTACCTCATACCGTGCTCAGCCTGGGGGCCAGCAGACCCCATGGAGAGCTGTGCACAGCCCCTGGGGGGGGTTACCAAGCGTACTGTCAGTTGGGGTCTGGAAACATCCCATGTGGCGAATGCCAGGGAACCCACTGGGAAGGACAGGCCTTGGGGAGCAAGCTGGGGACAGGCTGGAGTGTGGATTTGCCCCCAGCTCGTGCTGCTGAGTCGCCTTTCCCATGTGCTTCTCAGCTGCTGCCGCAGGCACCAAGCTGGCTTGCTCACCACCACGGGGTGGGAGTGGCACCTTCCCCGGGCTGTCCTCCATCTCCTCTTTTGCCAGGCAAACTGGCAAGTACTGTGTCTGCCTGTCCCCCTTGGGACCAGGCTCAGGTGGACAGGGGTGAGGAGGAGAAGGGGCAGGCTGAGGCCTAGCAAGTGGCTTCCAACACATCCCCTTACCTGCTGGGAAGTGCTTCCTGTCCTGGGTGTGGGCTGAGGTCACTTGGAAGACCCTATTTAGAGGTGCCAGGTGTGGGGATGGTGCGGTGAAAGGTGCAGGCTGGCCTGGAGGTACCACAGCTCTGTAGGGTCCCCTCACGCAGGTGGGCAGGATGCAGAGGCCCTTGTAGTCCCTAAGGCATCCCTCAAGGGGCATGGGTGACACCTCGGGAAAGGCTTTCTTGGGGGCGGTAGTTGGCTCGGGAGCGTGTCCTGGGGACAGCCAGGGCTTGGTGTTAAGGTGGGTGGTCAGGTGCGCCTCCCCTAGCGTGGACAGGATGCGCCTACAGGTGGCCTGTCCAGAGCTGAGGTGCAGTATGTCATACTGTGGCTTGAACTGAGGAGGGGATAGTCTCTGTGCCCACCGCCATAGCCTGGATGGACGGGGGGTTGGCATAGAGGGGAAGGGAAGGCCTGTGCCCATCTGGGACAGGCTGCGATTGGTCGTGGGTGGCAGCTGAACCCCATTGGTGAGAGGGGCCGGAAGAAGCCCAAGGCTGTGGGGTGGGGGGACACCGCCCAGCGATTGTCCAGAGGCAGCTTTGGGCTGGTAGGTGGCACAGGAGGGCATGGAAAAGAGCTGTCAGGCCCGAGCCAGGCAATGGGAATGGCCAGCTGGGGTGCCCGGCAAGTGGGGAAGAGTCTGAGACAGTAGGCCAGAGGAAGGGGAGCCAGGGCCTGTGAGCTGAAGGCTGGGGCTGGGCTTAGTGGGGTCAGGGATGTGAGTAGACATGGTACAGAGCTGGGGCTGCACTCTCTGGGTGCCCTGGGGTAGCACCAAGGAGAGTGGGCCCCTGCTTCGCTTGCACCGTGGCCCCCAGCACCACCTTTGGGTTGGTAGTCGCCATCTTCCCATCTGGTGGCAGCCTCCCTGGGTGGCTGGGCAACAGACCTAGGCACTCCTCAGGAGCCTCCTTCTCAGCCTGCAGGAGTGGCAGTGCAGGCACTGACAGGGCGGGAGCCCAGGTCCTGCCTGCCTGACTCTGACGGGTCCCTGCGCCAGCCACACCGCCAGGTGGCATGCAAGCCCTTCCCCTGGCCCAGCCAGGAGGCGAGGCTTCTTCTACACCTCAGAGCGCCTTGCCTTCCAGCTCTGTCCCTGTGAGTCAGGTGGGTGGCTTCGTGCTTCTTTTGCCGCGCTCAGTGGCTCTTCTACCTTCGGGGCTCAGCCCGTCAAGGGGCAGGCCATTGGGCAGTAGGGCTGAGGCAGGGAAACCTGAGCCTTCAGCCACGCGGTCTGGGCTGCTAATTTTAGAGAGCACATGTCATTGGAAACTCTCCTCTCCTGCCAGGAATCCGTGGCCTGGCTCTCCCCATGCCACCAGGGGCCCTTGGGAGCTTCTCCCCAAACCAGGAACTCTGGGGGCCTCTGCACCTTGGGTGCACAGCCCGAAAGGGGCTCTGCCAGGCCCCAAGAGCCTAGCCCAAGCCAGGAGAAGAATGCACCTGCTCTGTTCTCCATGCTGCATGCTTGCCCAGCTTGCAGGTGGGATGGGCAGAGGTTTCCAGGGCCCTGGAGGGCCAAGAGGCTGCTTTGTGTGTTCTGAAGAAGCACTTTCTTTGAAGAGCCATGGAGCAAGCAGATTATCTTCCTTTTTCCTGGCTTGCCTCTGAGGGCTGTGGCTGCGCTGGGCCCCATTGTGGCCACCACACCTGCCTATGTGGTGCCTGTCCCAGAGAAGGTCCTCCCTATTGTCCCACCACTCACTGCCACTGCACAGGGACGGCATCTGCCCTCGGCTGCTTTAGACAGGCAGTGGGTGTTTGTGCCCTGGTTCCTCCCTATCTATCCCTTCTGGCCCATGACGGCCTCCATTCAAGCCCCACTGTGACAGATGTGTTGTGGCAGCTGCCTGCATGATGGGATGGGAAGGAGTCGGGGAAAGAAGAGGCCTTTTTCTGTCTTGTGGCGTGACTCAGGTGCGGGCTGCAGAGACAGAGACCCGGGTTGTGATTGTGGCCATGTCTGCTTCTGGACCTGGACCTCAGTCATGTCTCTGGCACCTGCTGAGCGCCAGCTTCCTCCTCTAAAATGCGGGCAGCGATAGCAGCTGCCTCTTGAGGCAGATAAGAGGATCTGGCCTGGCATGCAGTGAGGGCCTATATCTGTCAGCTACTGTTGCTCTGCTGAGGCAAGCCTGGCCTCGCAGGGTGGGAAGTGGTGCCGAGGCTTGCCCGGCACATGTAGACACCAGAAGGAGAGTGCTGGCGTTCTGAACCTATGGTGTCCCTGGGCTCCTGCTCCTAACCTGGCCATTTGGGGGCCTCACCTTTCCCTGTTGTTGCCAGGCAGGCAGGCAGGGACAGGAGCCGCCAAGACAAGCCTGCCAGCCGTGTTCCCTCACCTCGCACTTCTTTGTTCTCTAAACCACTGCAGCCTGCTGAGACGCCTGGTGACTCTCATCTCCCAGCAGGCCACACTGCTGGCCTCCAATGAAGCCTTTAAGAAGCAGGCAGAGAGTGCCAGTGAGGCAGCCAAGAAGTACATGGAGGAGAATGACCAGCTCAAGAAGGTGAGCCCCACCTGCGCAGTTGGCCTCGCGACACCTGGGCCCGGGGACCTGGGGTTGGGTGCGGGCGCAAAGGGGAAGTTATCCATGGGGAGCAGTGGGGGTGCAGTGGGGAAGTGAGTGTGGTGGCTGCTGTCTCAGTCCCACTCCTGGGCAGAGTGAGTCCCCGGGCGAGACCCTTATTCTCCTGTACCTAGTGCAGAAGGCCCATCCTTCTGCTAGGGAGCAGGCAGGGACGGGGTTGTGGGCCAGTCCTCGAAGGCGAGGTGCGAGCCAAGCTTGGAAGGAGACGGGTGGATTGGGAGTCACCGATGGGGTGCAGCTGGATGGGCAGGGCCAGTTCGAGGTCACTGGCTGTGGTAAGCAGCCAGAGCCCAGGGAAGAGGGGGCAGCTGTGGTCACTCGGGGCAGTGGCAGATAGCTCCACGCTGAGTTATCAGGGAAAGCGGTAAGCTCCGCGGAGTGCTGAGTCTTGCTGGTAAGGAGATAGGGCCCTCGGCCAGGGCAGGCAGGGTGTGTGGCCTGTGAGCTGCGGCAGGTGGCCCCACTAGCCCTTCCCTGGCCCTCAGCAGCCAGCCATGTCCTGGCCTTTGCTGGGAGCAAGCGGTAGCCTGGATCCACGTTGACATTTCCAAAGGGGCAAATGTCCGGGACAGCTTGAGGAAGTACAGCTCAGGGAGGCCCAGGCTGGAGCCTCGCCCGCCTCCCTCCTTCCCAAGTGACCTGGCCCACGGCGCTTTTCCCAGGGGACTACCGGGGACCAAGGCAAGCTGTCAGAGACCGGGGATGCTGTGGCCAACATGGCGGAGGAGAACAGGGGCCTGAGAGCAGACGTGAAGAAACTGAAGGACGATCTGGCTGTCTCCAAGCAAAGTGAGGGTTGTGTCCCCCCTGACCCCAGAAACCCCCAATGATGACCCTCCTGCACAGGCTCAAGAGTCAGGTGGGGTGCAGCACAGGCAGGCCCTTGGAGAAGCCCTGGCAGCTGCCTTTGTGCTGTGGCATAGGGCAAGGGGAGTGTCTGCAAGGGAGTGGACAGGAATTCGAGGTGGTTTTATTTTGGAAAATCTAAACCAGCTCTCCGCTGGCCTCCGCAGCCCAGTCAGAGCCCAGAGTCTCCTCCCTCGGCACCATGGGCTCTGGCTGCTGCTGTTCCTCATGGCGTCCTTGTCACTGGGGTTCTTTGAGCTGGGATTTTGCAGCCTCCTGTAAGGTCACTCCTGCTGAGAGCCACTGCAGTGCACTCCATGAAAGGGACCAGAGGGCTCCTCTCTTGTTCCGTTTCCCTGAGTCGTCTGGTCATCCCTGTGACCCTGCTCTTGGGCCTAGGCACTGTAGAGGCAGCGCATACCACTCAGAAGCAGCAGTCCCACTTGACACGGTCTTGGGGCTCTTGAGCCGGTAGCTTTCCTCGCTCTCATCCCAGTCTTCTACTAATGTTTTCTTGCCTTCCTCACTTGTATCCCTTCCAGAACTCGAGAAAGCTGAGACCAAGGTGCTGGCCATGCGGAAGCAGTCTGAGAACCTGACTCAGGAGTATGACCGCCTGCTGAAGGAGTACGCCAGGCTGCAGGTCAGCGGCCAGGCACCTGGCCCATGGTGGGTGGTGTGGGGCCTGGCGTTGCTGAGGAAGTTCCTTGTGGCTCTGGACCTTCCCACCCTTATGCCCAGCCTCGAGAGCGCCTTGAGTGTGGCCCAAGTCCTCAGCCTGCTTTGGGCTCTCCAGGCGTGACCAGAGGTGCATATGGTTGGGAAATTAGCTCCTGTAGCTTGTGTCCATGTCTGGTGACCCAAGTTTGGACACTAAGGCAGGGGTAGGGCAGGTCTGGGTCTTGAGGGACCTGTGGCAGGTGTATGGATTTGGGACAGGTCTTGACCAGGACTTGAAAGCCGGCCTCCTGGGCCCCCAGCAGTCCCAGTTCTGGTCAGGCTGCCAAAGAAGAGCCAAAGCAAAGGCCCCTACTGCTTCCCTTACCCCATTCCAGCCTGCCTGGCAAGGACAGCCCTTCCCAGGCTGGCATTAGGTTCAGGGCCTTCCTGAGCAGATGAGACAGTGACACACCCACTGGGCCAGCCTTTGACACCACTCGGGGTGTGCCGCCTCGCTCGCCCATCTGGGTACCTGTGTTTAGCTGAAGGGACTGTGGCGACACTGGGCTTTCTGTCCCTTCACAGGCTGCAGTAGATGGCCCCACAGACAAGAAAGATGAGTGACGAGTGACGCTGCCACCTCCCCTGCCTGTGGCTGGCTTCCGCCTGGCCTGCGCTTGCTGTTCCCAGGAGCCCAGCGTCTCCCTCTGGTACTTGCCCCACTCCTCCCCACAGCTCCAAGAGTCGTCTGGGTCCCCTCCACAGTTCCAGCCTGCCGGCACTCCGCAGGGCACCCATCAGCCACTCGTGCGGGCTGCTTTCCCTCCAGGGTGGATGGAGGGCCCCTGTCCCTGTCCCTCTTGTTTTGCCATGTTGACACACCCTCTCCTCCTGCCTGCGCCCCCTGCGGCAGGCCTACGGGTCTCTCCTGCGGGCAATAAAGGTTGTTGCTATGAGATGTGTCCTGTCCTGGTGCCTGTGTGTGACCGAGGCCTGCGCCCCCCCATCCGCCCCCGGGGCTGGGATAGGAGGCCCCACTTTATGGCCTCTGGAAGTGGGAGTGGCAGGCCTGTCAGGCTTCTGGGGAACTCCGTGACCCACAGGACTTCCTGGTGGCAGACGTGCCTGCCTACCTCCTCCTTGGCCGGGAGAACGTGGCAGTAGGCCACCAGCTACTCCTTGCCCCGCCCCTCCAAAGATCTGCCGCCTGACCTCTGACTAATGCTGACTGAGAGGAGACTCGTCCTTGGCAGTGACCGAGCTCTGGCCCAGGGTGGAGAGGGGCACCCTGGGCACAGGTGTGCCACTGAGCACTGGCTTGCTGATCCCAGAGCCTGGCGCAGGGCATGGGGAGCAGTCCTGGCCGCCAGTGTCTGGCCATGCCGGGGTGCCTGTGGGAAGCCTAGGGGGCCAGATAGGGTGGGGGGGTTAGAGGTATGTTTTGGAATCAGGGTGACCCCCCAGTGCTGTTGACACTGGTGGGTGGCTGGCAGCCAGCCGGGTGTTCCCATTCCGGACTGCCCCGTCTGGGCCCAGGCCAACAGCTACTACTTGCTTCCAGTTGTCCTTCTCTACTCTGCGAGCACTGCCAGCTCTTGGGGCAGCCTCCCCTGTCCCAGCTGTCTGAGAGCTGGTGCCCATGGGGCCAGGGGCATTCAGGTGACACCCTCTGCTTGCTGTCTGCTTTTCCAGGAAGTGTTCCCGAGTTACCTCGGGGCCTCCCTGAGCCTGCACCGCACGTCTCTGCGCCGATGGGCTAAAGTCCAGGCAGCTTCTCCTGCTCTTCCTCCCTCACTAGCGCTGCCCGAATCCCTCCTTGGCCCAGCTTTTGGGGGGCCCCATGTCACGGAGGGACAGCAGGGGCTGGAGGGCTCTCTTGTTACATTTGGAGTGGCTTGAGGACCAAGACCACTTCTTGTTGACCTCTGGTGCAGGAATGGACTCCCACTTCTGTGGTGGCTTTGGAGGGTGTTAGCCTGGAGGCTAAGAGAACAGCAGAGCGAGTTTGTCCAGGCTAGAGCCCTGGCCAGGAGCTCTGGCATCAGTGTGAGCAGGGCGGGGCACTTCGACAGGGCACTCCCGTGATGGTGGGGGAGGGTCGGGCGCCTGCCCAGAGAGGGGCAGTCTGAGGATTGAGGTGCTGCGAGCAAGGATGGCACTGAGGCCCCCCAGGCCCCCACTTGCCTCTGCGTGACTGCTTCCTCCCCTGCACACCATGGCATGTCAGTGGCCACCCTCCACCGCACTGCGTCTTGCCCTCAAGGACCTGTCTGGATATCTGCTCCCTCTTTCACTTGTCTCCACTCTCACACAGAGTACTGGAACTGCTGTCTGTCCCATTGCCGTCCTCAGCCCCTGGCACCCCTTAGTTACCATCATCGCCGTTCTCCCCACCCCCGTCTTCAGATAAGAGTGCAGCTAGTTTGACTTTTGTGCCTGGCTTGAGCAGCACTGACCCCAAGGATAGCCATGTAGCTTTCCTTAGGCTGAGTACCACCCCATGGTATGGACTCAAAATCAACTTGGTCTGTTCATCTGCGGGCACTCGGACCCTCCCGCCCATCTGGCCAGTGTGCCACCACCCGGATCTGCTTCCCCAGTCCTCGCTCCAGGCCCATGTCCACCTGCCAGCTAGATGTCAACACTTGGATGTCAGTCACAAAGCCGACTCGATTGTCCCAACTGCTGGACCTAGCAGTGCCATTCTTCCAGTAGTCCAGACCAGATCTCTGGTGTCCTTGACCCCCTCTCAATCCTGCATCTTGGTCGCCCACGGCCACCTCTGGTCAGTCCCATCCTCAAAATAGATCCTAATTGCAAACTGCCTGGCCCTGCTCACCTGCCAGTCCTGCCCTGGGACTGCCCTCACGAAGCCCCCACAGCTCTGCACGCTCCCAGAGCACACACACCCCCCACCCCCTCCTGGGAGCAGACAGACGCTGGAGCCGGCTTTGGAAAATGACGTGTTTTATTGCTATGTTTGCAGTGGCTTTTTAACACAGTAAGAACGTCGTCCCTGCAGGCCCGTGCCCGCCCAAGGCCCTAGGCCCTAGGCCCAGTGTGGGGAGCCCGGGGCCACTCGGCCTCTGGGGCATGACGGACACAGACTGGGTTAAAGCTGCTACACGGAAGACTTGAGATGCGGAAAGAGCATCAGCCTGAAGCTTGGTATGGGAGCCCGGCCCTGGGGCAGGGTGGGTGAGCCCGAGCCAGGTGAGCAGGGCCAGGGACACCAAGGCCCCGCACCTTCCCAACCCAGGCCCAGCCGGGCTGCACAGGCGCATCCACGCACGCACACTCAACCGGCTCGAAGCTTGGTTTTGCCTATGAAAATTAGATCTATAAATTCACACTCCTTGGCTAGGGGCAGGGGAGGAAGGGCTGCAGGGAAGAAGGGAGTGGCAGAGGGACGGTTTGGGCTCTTCTCTTTAGAAATATACAAGCAGGAATCTCACACTCCTCAAGTTTTTATAAAATGTGCAAAATACAAGCCTCCTTTGCCCAGAGGCACTGTTTACATCTGGTATTGGCCTTCGCTAAGAGAGTTGTACACGTCCACCACACACACACACACACACACACACACACACACACACGCACGCACGCACGCACGCACGCACACACACTCTGACCCAAGCTCACACCAGGTGGCGGTGACTGGCAACTGGCGCAGGAACGAGGGTTCCCTTGCTGGTTGCTGGTTGGCTCTCGAAGCTTTCAAACAGGTGTGGGGAACCGCTGGTCTCCCCTCCCCTCCTGCGCCCACCCTCC